CTTAACACACCAGCACAGAGTCTTAAAGAAGTAGCCTATAGGTGATCTAATGTTATTATTCTAGGGTTACTGTAACATAACTCACTGCATTAGCCTGCTGGCTGCTTTTTACGGAAGTGCTGCGCCATGCCAAAAAAACAACAACAAGAAACAAATAGCACACACACTCAAATGAATGAAATTGCCCACAGAATAACGAGTCCAGTCATTATTAATCACAATAATTAGACAACCTACAGTCCAGATAACGGTCTGATAAGCGGGTCGCATCAGTGTGTAGTCACCCACTTTGAATACAAATTCTTTTACGAGCACCATTTGTCACGCCTGCCTCACTCCCGTACTGGCCATTCATTCAGGGGGGGCGCAACCTGGTTTTTCCATACTCGGCACGGATTTCCGCCAAAAACTTGAGAACTTTTGACGAATATCTCAAAACTTCCACCTTAAGACGCTTCATTTGAGGCTTTTACCAGCACCTGTTTTACACATATTCGACACTGGCTACATAACTCCACGTGTTACAACTGAAGACGCTTTTTTTTTTAGATGTGATAAGATGAACATTTTTGGCTCAACACTTGCTTGCTCACTGCTTTACGCTAGGTTAATGTAGCAAAAAAAAAAAAATCCTTTATGTCCTCGTGCACTGGGAGAACTGGGGAAAATGGCTGTTTTCAATATCTGCATTAATACAACACATGAAGAAAATATAACAGCAACAACTTGGCCCCAACCTGTATCGCTGAACCGACAACATAGGTGTATACAGGGCTACAGCTACAATGTAACCATGCTAAAGTAGCCCAGGTTATCTAGTGACTGACTGCTTACCTGCTCGGACTTTCTCTTCCCTGGCAACACAAAAGCTCTCCAAAAAAAAAAAAAAAAAACTCAGACCAAAAAATAATAATTAAAGAACACAGCTGTATCGTTGCTGCTCTCCTGATTCCCGCAGAAGCAGATATCCGTCTGTCTTCACGTATCCCACATGCGACAGGTTAACGACCCAGGAGATTGTGCTGCTGCAGGCTGGTTTCGCCTCCAGTCGGGCATGCTCCTGCTGCTGCTGCTGCTTCTGTTGCACTGTGCAGAGGTGGAGAGCTGAGGCGGAGCAGGAGTCCTCTGCAGCAGCGTGGGGAGAGCACAAGGAGGTGGTGGGAGGAGCTCATAGCAACCATGCAGTCTGGGCCAGTAGCCACACTCACAGATTCTCATTAAGGCTTTTTGTCCTAGTAGCTGTCATAGGAATTTTTTGAAAATACCTTTCAGCATGTCATTTGATTTGCAGAAAATTACACATTAGAGTTTTGCAAGTTCTGTAAATCCCCCCCACCCCCCAACCAACAAAAAAGAAAATTGGAAGTCACAAGGAATTCAAGGTTTCACTAAAAGAAAACAAACCCTTTTTTTGGTTTTAAAAAACCCCACTGGGCTTTGCAGGTTTATTCCACAAGCAATCAGTCTTTATCAGAAGCCCTTTTGATGTGGGGAAGGTGGATGTATACAAGCTTCCCTGGGTTTTGCTGCCCTTTTCCCTCCTGTTACCCCCTGGGCTGCTCCTGCTTCTGTTCATCATGGCTGGGGTGACAGTGATAGAAAAACACTGGCACTGTTACTGAGCCAGGCTGGACCCCTGCTGGTTTCCATTACAGGCAGCAAAAGGAGAGGCAAAGCTCCGGAGTGACAAACACAGCCGCTGTGTTGGATGAAGGCAGTCGTCCATAGAGATTAACCTTTTAACTGAGCATCTCCTCTTATGTTTTACTGAGAAAAAAAAACACTGGAACAAGGTATTATTGGTTGGCTTTTTGACTTATTTAAATTAAAGCAGCACCAGCATTTAGCTCTAAGTTGTGTTTGTTCTGCTTTTTTCATGCATTTCCTTTGGGTTTTCTTTACTTTATCTTCTTCTCAAAAAGAAGCCCTGAAATCATCGATAATTGCAGATTATCTAAAAAAAAATGGCAGAATAAACCCAGCACCAGATCCCCAGTGAGCCCCAAAATTAAGTACCCCTTCCCTCCACTCCAAGGATCCCATTGCTGTAGTCTACTTCCTGTGAAAGTGAAAACACATCCATGCATATGAATTGATTGGACACAGAACCCACCAGTTTCCTGAACCTTACGCAAGGATTTATAGCTGAGCTAAGACAATCAGCATAAGTGGCGCAGCAGAGACTGCATCCAGGAAAAGTGATATCTTTTACAAGACCACCTGTTGAATTTGGAAAGAGTCACAATCCTCTCAAGAGGATTAAGAGTTTGTTGCATTGCATCTATTTTTGGTAGCAAAGAGCATGTAATAATTCTGCTAATGGGGTAATTCAAATAGCTTGTGCTAAAAATATAGGATGAAGTTGGGGAAACTTCTAGACACATTCTACTGTTTACATTTAGCCTTTTTGCTCAAGCAACAATGCAAATTGCAGATTTCATTTCACGGTAAATTCAAACAGGAAGAGGCATGTCCTGTTCCAGTGTATTTGTGCTAAGAATCGTCTTGTCAACTACAAGGGGTGTTACTCTGCAAGTGCTGTCATATAAAACTGTTTCCCAAGAGGCACCGAGATAAATCTTCCATCACAAGTCAAGATTTTAGTGCTGAGATGTTGTGGGAACACCCAGATTAGAGGAGCATGGCAGGGGGTTTGAATTACTTTTGGACACTGCAGTAGCGGAAGACTTTTTCCCACATAATTTTCTAGTAGAAATTTAATAGTGAGGAAATTTACAAGAGTGATTTAGAAATAAAAAGGGAAAAGTGTGGGAAAATATCATTTTTTTTGGCTAGATTCTTCCTTGATTCCCATGTTATACCCACCATATCATATGTATAAATGATTACAGATAAATCTGCATGTAGCCCATTGTACGCCACATATACTTGTGCAGTTCTTGGTCGTGCTGGCATGGGGCTGAAGTTGTCAGGCTGTGTACAGTTCATCCTATAAAACATTTGGAGTTGCTTAACTTTTATAACACTCCCTAAAATTATGAAAAGATTCAGAGCCACTTAATGTTAATCTGGCTGTCCATGAGAGCCTCAGCCACACGATGTGCACTAATGAATTAGCAGTTTGTTGACATGCTGCAGACGCATGTGAGCTTGTGTGAGAAAGAGAGACTGGGATAGAGGCAACGTCTCTGCAAACTGCAACATGAGGATGCTGTTGGAGAACAGCCAATCATGAACTGCCCAGCCACAGATACAACGTCAGGATGCTGAAATATGAGCAGCACTTTGACATCACTACATGATTTATGTTGTTTGCATCCCTCCTCATGCCCCTACACTACTGCACCATGACCACTATCACACAAGTACAGAATAAGTCAATGAGATAATAGAATATTTATGTGTGATAACACCGATTGATCCGATTTTGCACAGAAAGATGAGTTTAGGCTCTACACGCCCACGTCCACAGCACTCAGACTGCTGTACCCGCTCTCTTATTCCTCAGCATAAATGAATTATTAAAAAGACAATCATCTCAAATTAAATTCAGTCAGGGGGGAAGTGGGTTTTAATGCAAAGTAGCAAGAAAGAGACTTCTAATGATTGAAGGCATTACTCAGGTCAGATAGGACCAACTCTATCTCTCTCCACTCTCAGCATTGATAAGCAGAGTAATTCAAGACTGCTGAAGATGAGTCATGTTAGGAACAAAAACTAGAGTGAATATCTCAGAGTTTGAGTGAAACTGACTTTCTAGTTAGAAAACCTGTCCTTAAAATCTTTGTTTCTTACCTGAAATCCAGAGGACACTCTATATATACAGTCTAATAGCTTATTTTTCCTTCCACACTTCTTCTTATTTACATTAAGTCAGTATCATTGTGTCATTTTCTGTTAACAGGTAAAGGGCATCCGGACATTTATGCTCAGTTAATGATATGCATGATTCTCCAAAATGTTTCCAACAACGACAAATTAGACTGAATAACAGATTATAATGAATTTTCAAGAGTGGCGCTGATATTATTAATGATTTGATGATAAAACTATTATATGGATTTCAATTGAAAGTGTTGTGGTCTTGACATGAGCTTTAGTCTGGAAATCTCTCTACATATAAACTGTCTATGTGGGCATTGTTGTTTTTAAATGTGAAGCCTCTTCACATTACACAAACTCTTAACCAAAAGGAGAAGTTCAGAGTTTTTCCCTCACTGCATTTGTTTGGGCTAATTGACAAACCAGGTATTGTGCTACTCAGGTTTCTGTCTGTTTCTGTGTGACACTTCCCATTACCACAGGAGGCCCCATAAAAGATATCCTGTCACGACACCAAAAGGTCTTTGTTTGCGTTTGGCCTCCATGTGAAGAATACTCTTTAGTCAGTCACTGGAGACATTAGACATCCCATTTGAAACTCAATGCTTCACTCAGATTCTCCTCCGTTGAAAATGAAAAAAAGCTCAACTTAAAGTTCAAGTGAAATCTGAACATTTTCCACAACAGGTGCTTGAAATGAAAGATGAAAGAAGGAATGAACTTCTGTTTGCATTCAGTCTGTTTACTGCTTGTCGGAAACTTTACAAAGAGCAAAAGGGGCTGAATGTACACCAGCTCCCTCGGGACACACTTTCTTCTCCACAGGTCGTCCCTCTTAAAACCTGAACATTCAAAGGTAACCCCCTTGTGTAACTGAATGCCTCTGAGAGCCAGGCACCAAGAATTAATTGTGTGTGTGTGTGTGTGTGTGTGTGTGTCAAAGGGAAAGGTGGGTGTCAGATTTAGTGCCTGTTCCTTTCTGGGTTGCCATGGCAGTCGTGTAGAGGAGTTGGTGGAGTCAGGAATGCAAAGATAACGCAAGGCAGAGCCGCACCTCTCTCTCTCTTTCTTACACACATACACACACACACAGACACACACACACACACAAACTCAAAGTTAAACAATACATAAACCCACCCTGTATACTTTCTATCACCTACACAGTCTCCAGTGACGATACTTCTCCACTGCCTCCATCGTTGCATTCCTGTACCTGCCCTTACAGGTTTACCCTGTGATTATGACACACACACAAAACACTGAGAAATTTACTTGCACCATCAATAGGACACATCATTTGTTTATAAAGATTCAGGGAATTTTCTTACATGATCTCACCTTAATTTACCCAAAGTACTGTATAGTATGTGGTACTAAAAATCTCAAAGTTTAATCATGAGCTATTCTATTTAAAAACAGAGCAGGAGAGAGCTAAAATTCTGCTTGTAGGACACAGTTAGGGTAGGAGCTCACTGGTAATATAGCATGAATATGATGATGTGGTTAACTGTTTAATTAGAAGCTTTAATAGAGGGTTTCAAGTTAAAAGTCCCATTTATTTTGTCCGATGGTCACCGTAGAGAATGTAATGATGGTTGGAGGGACATGAAAATCTAAAAGATGAACAACTGCTTTAGAATTTTTTTTTTTTTTTATGTGAAGTCAATGCTTCAAGCATGTGTACATAAATATGTAAGGGGGGAAGTCAAGAGTCAAATGACTCATGAAATGCATTAAAGCAGTAGTTTGACATTTTGGGAAATTGACGTATTTACTTCCTCACCAAGTCAGAGGACAATTAGCTTAACTTGGCGAACAGTAACTACCTGTTTGCCAAGAAATAGTGAGGTCATAACTTCCAGTAAAACCACAATTTGTCATTTTGATGTTCCTCGTTTTGAACAAACAAGATATAATGTGTTTATTAGTGAGCCTAAGGGGTATTAGGAGGAAAATCTTTAAACTGGCCAGGCTACCTTTTTTTTTACTAGTCTTTATGCTAACCTACAGTTTTATATTTAACAGAACTGAGAGTACTGATCTTCTCATTTAACTCAACAAAAGGTAAATATTAAAAAAAGATTTTTACTATTTTATATTCAGTATCATTTGTTTGTTTTTGGATGAATTCAGCAACTACTGTGTAGCATTTTGTTCATAGATAGTATTTTAACTTCTCACAGACTTCTTCTACATAGCAATGGAGGCAGAGGTGTATGGGTATTGTAGTATTCCACCATCTGCATCCACTAAACTGAGAGAAAAAACTGAACTGTACCGGGAGTGAGTTTTTATATAACTCACCCCCGTTAA